GGGGGGGGGTTGCGGAATAGTCAGATCTGAGAAAGAGCTACACAAGTCTAGGGTTGTCTATGATGTTGGCACAATAAGGAGGGATTGGGTTTTTATGGTGCAATATATAAAGTCTAATTCAATAAGTTAAAGGTTATTTATTTATTTTTGGGTAAATTACATATTTGGCCGGTGGATCAAAAATAATTACATATACTAGATATGTATATTATATCTATATTATAATCATTTATATGGGTATGGGTGGGTATGGTTATGATTATTAGTCTTTTTAATTAATTATGAGATATTTAAAATTGGTCAACATGACGATGACAAGTGTCCATGCGTTTAAACGAGGGGTATATTTGAACCCAAAGTATAGCGGTAGGGGTATATTTGGAATCATAGTATAACCAATGATATTTTTAAACCTTTTTCGAAAGTACAAGGGTATATTTAGCCATTTTTCCAAATGAAAATAGCTTTCTATCATAATTTTTCCAGCCTCATTATTTAGGTAATTCCTAAAGCAGTGGACTACAGGTGCATTAGTTTTTTTAAAAAAATAAGAATATTTTATTGAATTTTTTTTCCCTGTTTTTACAAAAAAAAATGGTTTAGAAAATTGCTTTTCGGGTATGGGTAATGGGTATGAGTCTTTTTAATTAATTAGAAGATATTTATAATTGGCTGACCGGACGATGACACGTGTGCCTCCATTTAAATGAGGGGTATATTTGAACCCAAAGTATAGTGGCAGGGTATATTTGAACTCATAGTATAATGAATGGTATATTTAAATATTTTTCAAAAATACAGGATTATATTTGTCTCTTTTACCAAATGAAAATAGCTCCATATCATAATTTTTCCAACCTCATTATTTAGGTAATTATATTTATCTCATGATAACTTTTAGTTGTAAATACGTTAAACTTATGTTCCATTTTGGACTTCATATAAATGGCAATTACTTGAATTTTTTTTCCCTATGATACTCAATTGTACAAATCATTTGATTTGGTCGATTAAAAGTGATTAATAATTAATAAGCAATACGTATTTAAAAGTAAAAATACTTTTAAATATTAAAATTATTTTTATAAATAATTAGTAATTCATAAATGTTTAATATAATCATAAACAGTTAATGGACCATAAGGACTACATACCTTGGCTAAAATCCACACAAAAAATAATAATTTTCCAAGAAAAATCTTGAGCTATAAGTAAACATGCTACGTAGTAGTAATTATTTAGTTGACCATCCTAAGCCAATTACATTGGTTTGAAATCCTAATATCATGACAAAATTTTATGTGATGGCGCCCAACATCACCGCTACGCAAGCCAACTAGTGAATTAAATATAAATTTCTTCTTTTAACAAGTTTTCGAGTAATTAAACTTTTCTCATTTGTAAGATTTAAGAAAAATAAAAGGTTTAAATAAGAAAAACCAAGTAATAGTTTCAAAACCACAATTCTACTAGTGTGTGTGTCAAGACCTTGTGTCAAGACCTTGTGTCAGCATCTAGTAGATTATACAAACTTCTAACCATTGTCCGAACATGAAATAGACAGAATACAAAATACAAAAGAGAGAGACTCTAGGCCAAGGGATATCTCGGGTACGCGCCGGTAGGACCGCCTGATGCACCTGTCTCAAATCCTGCACAAAAAGTGCAGCAAGTGTAACATGAGTACGTAAACAACGTGTACCCAGTAAGTATCAAGTATAATCTCGAAGAAGTAGTGACGAGAGGTCTACTTCGACACTTACTATGGGTCAATAATATTAAAGACGAAAATATTTAAATAAACACAATTTATGTGAACAATAACAAATTTTCCTTAGCAGGCATAGACAAATAATTCTTTCACAATTCGACAATTTCCAAATAATCATTTACCTTCATAAGCTGCAATAAAATAAATATCAAAGCACTGAGTAATTATTATTATTAAGCACGATTTATGTCGAGGTCGCACGACCCGATCCAGAATAATGTGTACACTGCCGAGAGTCGAGTGGCATGAACCATAGATGCATCTATCTACTGCCGAGACGTTCGTCCGCTCCACAAGAAGAGGAGGACACTTTAAAAGCTTCTGACTTAAAACATTACTGAGGTTTTATACAAAAATAATACGAATTTCATTAGCGATCTTTCACAGTTTCTCTAACAATTACTAATATAACATAGGCATTTTAAATTAACAAGTATGGTGCAAAAAAATTCAAATAATTCATGAATTGGGTCCTAAAACTACCCAGACAATAGTATAATAGTAGTTAAGCACGGACTTGTCACCTCGTACGTACGTAACCCCCACAATTATAAATAAATATTTATTTAAAACGCATATGGGGTAAATTCCTTCTTACAAGGTTAGACAAGACACTTACTTCGTCTCAAAGGTCACTTTCCGGTCAAAATTTTGCGTTAAAGCCTCAATTTGGTACCAAAAATTTCGAAACTAGCCAAATATTATATAATTTAATCAATACATGCTCAAAATTTAATAATTTATCTATTAGAGTAATTACCTAACCCAAATTGGTAAAATTCATAAGAATGGAGAAATAATCTTGATTTTTATAATTTATATGTTATAATATACTCATAATCTATGTATTTAACTCACGATAAGTAGAAATAACTTATCTTCAAGTTGCTAGGTGAACACCCTTCTCAAGAAGCGCCAAAATCGCCCAAGAATGAAGAAAATGGGCTTAAAAAAGGCCGAGCCCCATTTTTAAGGCATTCTGCCGAGCACAGTAAGATCCTTCTTCGCGAACGCGGTGAGGGTCTCGCGTCCGCGAAGTCAAAATTCACCAGGCCTTGAAAATGCTCTTCGCGAACGCGACACGGGTCTCGCGAACGCGAGGGGTAAAATACGTTGACCCCTCCCAGGCCTTGTCCTTCTACGTGAACGCGATAAGGCCTTCGCGAATGCATATGCCTGGGATCCCCAAGCTTCACGAACACGACCCCCCTTCCCATGAACACGAAGGGTAACTGCTCAGCCCCCAAATTCCTTCATCGCGGATGCGAGAGACCTTCCGCGCTCGCGAAGAAGGAAACCAGAACTGAAAAATTTATTTTTTCCAACTTAACTCTGGGTGGTTCAAAACTCACCCGAGCCACTCGAGACCCCATTCAAATGCACCAACAAGTCTATAAATAATACGGACCTATTCAAACTCTCAAAACGTGTCAATCAACAATGAAACTAAGAATCGCACCCAGAAACCGAATTGAATCAAAATATGAACTTCAAGTTTCCAAATTGCTCTGAACGCGCCGAATCATACTTAGACTACTCTTAATGACACCAATTTTTGCGTGCAACTCTTAAATCACCATACAGAGTTATTCCAAGAATCGGAATTTTAAACGGATCTCGATTACTCCAAAACATACTTCCAACCAAATTTGAAGAACTTTAAACCTTCAAAATAGCCAACTTTCGCTATTAAGCGTTGTTACACTCTCGGGTCGTCCAAAACCCGATTCGAACATACTCCCAAGTCCAAAATTATCATACGAACCTATTGGAATCATCAAATCCCGATTCCGAGGTCGTTTACTCAAAACGTTGACCGAAGTCAAACTTAGCCATTTAAAGTCAAACTAAGGAACCAAGTGTTCCGATTTCAACTCGAATTCTTCCAAATCCCGAACTAACCATCCCCACAAGTCATAAAATAATAAAAACACATACGGTGAGTCTTATTTAGGGGAATGGTTCTAGATAGCAAAACGACATGTTGGATCGTTACACCTAAGTTGTTATAGATCACTCTCATATATACGTCAAGCAATTTAGCGAACTATAAAGTGAATAGTATATTAACTTATACAGTGTGATATGACAAATTAGAAAATCACTCAAATCTTTTATGTATTCAAATGGCATATTTCAATCAATCAAATCTAGTTAATTATTATTAGAATTAGACGATTTGATTACTGAAATACACAAATCAAATATAGTAAAATAGTTCATATGCAATACAATTGCGATCTTCTACAATTAGAATATACTCTACATGTAAAAATTATCCTACAATATAAGATAAATAACAAGGTTAACAGAGACAATACCTCTAAAAATCTTTGATCAAGTTTCAAGCACCTAAGTTTACGTATCATAATAAGATGGGTGCAAGATAAAGGTTTGCGCATTTGATCACAAGCCATTTTATTTATGGTGAATGAATCTCGTAAAAGGTCATCAAGGACATGTATAAAAGAGTTGCTATTAACATGAGAACAATAGTACGAGATATGAAGAAGTTTTTCCCAAATGTCGATTTACACTAGGGAACGACATTGACTTTGTGCTTGTTTATTCTAGTTATAAAAAAGTTAATCAATACAAGATGAAATTCCATGGTGTATTTTATTTTATGATAACATTGTGCTAATTGATGAAATCAATAAAAGCATCGTTAATTATTGGAACAGTTAAAAGGACTACAAAAAATAAAGGTGTTAGAATTAGATAACAATAAGATTAAATGTATAAACTTCTTTTTTGATTTTTAAAATTTCACAAAATCATCATGTTGCAAAATTATTGATTTTGGTGATGGGCATAACTTCGAGGAATCTTTTTCACAACTTACATAATTAACCAAGATACATGTGATATACACATGATATACATGTGACACATGCATGCAGTAAT